CAGCCTCAAAGGCTTTGGCCTCTGTGTCCAAGGTAAACACTCCTCAACCGCCCTTCCGCCTGCAAATGCGGCATATTTGAGTCTAAAGTGTGCCGTATGCTTCTGGAAATTAGATGTCAGCTATTGTCTGAATGAAGGATTTCCTACTGAATCAACTCAGTGAGTCACAGGTGCCATTGAGGGCAGTGGCAGGGTGAGATTAGGTTTATTAAAAGAGCCAGAGGAATAAACTTGATACTCCCAGTGAGACACACACGGTTTTATACAAGGATGGTTGAGAGGAGGTTTTTTTAAGTGTGAAAATAAAAGGGATCTGCTAACTGATTTCATCATTTCGTTTCAGATCATTGATGTGTGTAACACAGAGGTGGGAAAGATGAAACAGATGGAGGAGCTGATTCATATCTCTAAGACACTGGAGTTTGACAAGCTCAAGGTAACGGCAGTGTTGACGTTTGTATTCAGCTTATGTGATCTCTTTTATTTTGAAGAGTCGTAAATGCCACCTGTCCTCTTCAGGCCATCCCCATCATCTCCCAGACTCGATATCTGGAGAAAAAGGGAGAGCTCCAGGAAATGTCCAAAGGAGCGACTCTCTTCAACATGAGGGCAAAGTTCACTCCCGTCTACTTCTTCCTGTTCAACGACCTGCTCGTCATCGCTGCCAAAAAGGGGTTAGGTTCAAAAACAAAACTGACACAACATAAAATGCTCTTAATTTGTTGACCCATCTTTGATGCATCATTGATTCGTTCTGTTAGATTCTGATTAGAATTGAAAGCGTACACTGAATTTTTCAGATGTTGTACACATCATGCATTCAGTCCCTTTACAGCTTAATAAATGCATCTTTCTGCTTCTGTGACACCAGCTACATAAATTTGCTTGATGTGGATATCAAAGCCTATCTGTAAACTGCAGATATTTACTAGCCTCAGCTTTATGCACTAATTCAGAATTATACATTTTTGGTTAATCATTAAACACTAACAGTAATTATAATGAGTCACAGGGGAGCAGTGGTCTGTGCACTCTTCTCACTGGTTGAATATTTTATATTGATGTTCTATATGTAGCAATGGACCTAATGTCTTATGTCAGGTTTTCACGGTACAGGAAAAAGAGTCATTTACCACAGAAGAAAGATGGACTCTTTAGTTCTTTACCCCTTGAAATCCTGCTAGGAGTAACCCTTGAAGCTCTTTTCTGAACCGAGTGGTTTCAGGACTGCTTATAGAACAAAAGGACTCAGTGTGGATTAGACATTAGTGAGGGTGGTCTCTGCCTATGCAGCTACCCTTGGAAAAGCCCAGAAACTATTCTAATACTTGCCAAACTATTACATCTTTATTGATATATAGTGAGCTCATTACAGGGGAGGTCGCCGAATGTCGTCTTTATGGGGAAAGAGTTAAATGCGTGTCATCACTCGTTTAAATAACTCCAACTCCCTAAAATTTAAGGGAAGGTGGTGCCAAAGGTGCTAGACGTATACACAGCATGCGATATACCTGCTTCCTACTAGACCCGTTTTCCTTCTCATATTTTTCTTGTAATTAGCTTTTGTCTACATTGTCTCAAACAGCGCGGAGCGTTTTGTGGTGCTCGACCATGCCCATCGCTCTCTGGTGCAAGTGCAGCCAATAGAGGAAAGCGGGACCAGTGGGAGCCCCTTCGAACACTGCTTCAATCTCACGCTGCTGGAAAACCACCAGGGACGCCTGTTTGAGCGGCTCATCAAAGCTTCCTCTCAGTGAGTGGTCGCGCGCGTGTGTGTGAACAGCATGTGCTTGACTCTAACATCTGCAGTATCTTGAATGAAAATAAGGGAAAAACTAGACATGAAGTCAAAGTCCAATTCAAGTAGTTCACGCTGTTTACATAGAAGCAGCATGAATCGGGTAATTTGACTCATGTAAAAGAAACATTTAATTTCCTAAAAGGAAAAATTGTAGATGAACTGCGAGTTACTCAAAGGTTATGTGAGATGGAAATGAGAAATTAGATCCACCAAGAAACAGTTCTGGTCTAAAAGTGTAACTAGATTACACTCCTGCCTGGCCACTCCTTGAAAATGTTGCCCTGGATGAACAGCTGTTCTGACTTTCAAAGTAAAAGCTTAACGAGCACAAAGAAAAACATTCACACTACATTAAAAATTAAGTGAAATTATGAACCAAATACAACAAACACATGTGCAAAGTCCTGCCCCCCTGATTCATGCCTGGGAGCCAGTTTGGAGAGCATACAAGCTGACGTCCTGGATGTTGACAGACTTGCTACAACCGGCTTACAGGGAAGTTAAACATGGAAAAAAAGGATGTTTGTCATTTCAAACAATTTTCATTGTGATGTTTGTTTATTATATGCATGGTTGGCAAGGTATCATGTGTCTTAATTGCCCCTTGAGGATAAATATGGTATTTTTGACTTTGACTTGATGACAACATGATCTGACGGAAACATTGTTAGGATGTTTTTGCAGGTTATAAAATATCCCCAGTGTTAGGTGATCCAGAGCAATCAAAAACATGTCCAGGATGTGATTGAGGCCAGAGAATCCATAATGCTCTATGCAAAACATTTTCTCTGTTAAACATTTTGAGGATGTGTTGTTGGTGACGTAGTTTTCCTCTAACACCATCACAGTAAAATGCAAATATCGGCCACTATGCTAATAGTATAATGTGTGACTCCAGGGAATAAATCCTTCATATTTAGTACTTAGGCCAAAAACATCTAATGTCGATCCATTCGTGTATCCACTTGTGCTTATCCAACTCGGGGTTGCAGTTAGGCTGAAGCCTGTCTGAGCTGTCATAGGGTGAGAGTTGGAGAGCACCCAGTACAGTGGTTAGCGCTGTACAGCACAGTAAAAAGGTCCCTGGCGTCCTGCGTGTTCGCCTTGTGTCTGTCTGAGTTCTCTCTGGTATTTCCAGCTTCCTCCCACAGTCCAAACACACGCCTGTTTGTGTAACTGGTAGTTTTGGCGACGTATCAAGGTTAAACTCAAGATCTCTTGACCAAACCATTATAAAAGTGATTTGCTAAACTTAAATGAACCTAAATATAATGCTGGGAACATTTTCCAGAGATGTGCCAAAATGCAATGTGAGGATTTTTAGATTCAGAAGACTGTGGGACATGTTGAGCTTTAGAAACGGGTTGCTATGGTTTTCTGTTGACCTCCTCTTCTCCGCACACCTCGAAGGAGGTGAAAACTCTTCCTACTGTTACATCAGGAATTACACGTCACTGGTATGAGACTAAACTGTGGCCGTCTCCATCAACAGGTCGGACATGGACAGGTGGATGGCAGCTTTCCCCAACACGGCCAACCAAGAGAGAGATGATAAGGAAGTGATTTACGAGGACTGGGGTGAGGACAAGCGCATACAACATTCACACACACCGAGTGTTATGCGAGTTATGAAAGTTTACAATTTTATATGTGTCTGTGGATGGCAGACTGTCCTCAGGTGCAGTGCGTGGAGCAGTACATCGCCCAGCAAGCCGACGAGCTCAGCCTGGAGCCCACTGAGATCATCAACGTCATCCGCAAAACCAACGAGGGTAAGAGCATCGGGTGGGAAACGTTTATCTTTAGAAAACAAGCTGTGGCAGCCGAAACCGAAACTAATTATTATTATTATTATTATTAACATTTGTTACACAGAAAAAGTTACATGTACTAACATGACTTTGTATCACCTCCCTGGACTCTGCTTGTTTATATGCCACCATCCTCCAACCCTCGCTTTAGCAGTTTATTTGCTTTGACTTTCTTGCATGAACGACGCAGAAACCGCCAATATCTCCCCCTTCCCTTGTTTGTCCTCTCCCCACTCTCCTCCCCCTCCTCCCCTCTCTTTTTTTTTTTCTCCTTCCCCCCGAATAGGCTTGTACGAAGGAACCCGCCTGTCGGACGGTCAGAAGGGCTGGTTCCCCGTAGCGAATGTCATCGAGATCACAAACGAACACGTGAGGAGGAGGAACCTCCGGGAGCGCTACAGAGTCATGCAAGCAGCGACTTTGGTTGCAAACAGCAAGACCCGCACGCTTCAGTAGATGTTTACAGTAAATGACGTGGACACTTTTGAGAAAGACAGTTACTCAGGGACTGTGCCGCGTGAGCTGCCAGTTTCTAGCAAACAGGAAACGAAAGGTAAAAGCAGAAGGGCGACCACGACGAGACGGCGGACACACACTCGAGCTGCTGCAGCATGTGCTACTTCAGCAGAAGAAACAGAAAGTATGTGACAGCAGAGGATTAGCTTACATATCTCCCTAACTGCAAGGATCCACCTCTTCCTGTTTTCCGTGCAGCCCCACGCCAACACCTCTTCACAGACTGCTGTGCCAAACTCACATGCCAGTCATTCGTGGCATTGTTCAAACGCTTGTACGCTCAGACAGGAGCTGGGTGTTGGCTGGAAACATTGTTTAGTTGTCAATACACAAACAATGCCCTGTTTTTTAGTGCTATGTGACACTTGGTTGGCCGGATTAGAGAACAGAAGGAGTCTTAAAAAAAACACAAAAAACCCCAAATGCATCTCAGCTGAAAGATGTTAACGTTTTAAAATTTCACCAGAAAACAGACATAAAATCAGGAAGTGCCTTTTAATTGAAAACAGAAGTACACAATTGTGAAGTACGGGGTTTATGCTTTCAGCATGTGCAAACTGTGCTTGAACTTTGTTTTTTATGTTTTTAGTAGTTGTGCTTTTGACTAGCTTGTTAGCTTGTCCACCACTGTGGAGTGGTGCTGTAGCTCCCCCTGCAGGGCATCAGGAAATGGGGTCTGGTCTGTATAGTATGTTGTAAATTACAACAGGGTGATTCTCCTTCAGGACATATTTTAATAAAACCTTTTGTCTTTTTAACTGGCTCTTTGTTTCTCAGTAACGTTTACTGAACATTATAAAGTTCTCGTCTGTCAGAGGAACCTGTGCAAAATCCAAAACTGGGTAAAGTGCAAATACAATGCTCAAACACAAGAGCCGAGAACAGAAATATTGAGCACAGTCACTGTGTGATATTAACATCCATAAGGCTCAGGAGCACGTCCACGGCATCGCCCTCCAAATCTGAGAGCCTCTGTTCCTTTGCTTCCATAAACCCTTCAAAGACACTCACTTTGCTCTTGATCACTGGGGATGTCTTCAGGGGAACGGCGCTACTTCCTAATGCAAGTGGAGCTTCAGCTTCCTGGTGTGTTTGAGGGCTTGGGCATAGCAGAGGACCGGGAGGAGTGTTTGCTGTTTCATTTCGGGTTTGGGCCTTCAACAAGTCAACATAATTTATTTTTAATTGACTCGAGAGAGTGTCGGCGACTTCAAGCTCTGCATCTGACCAAACCGTTCCCTCTATCAGTGCACCACGAGCAGGTTTGTACCCCTCCTCACCATCCTTAGCACAAGGATGACTGACGTTTGAGTCATGGTCCATTTGGTAGTGCAGTTTCAGCAGGTTAGTAACGGCCTGGTCCTCTTCCTGTGTAAGCTGGAGGACAACCTGCCTTGGCTGCACCTGAGGGTGAATGGTTTGTGTTCTCCAAGTGGGGCTACCCAGATCTCTAGTGGGGTGTGGTCCTGATCTAAATGGGTCTGGGCGGTTTGGTGGGGCCAGGCAGGCGGACATGATGGGTCGTGGCGTGTTGAGCTGCAAGCAATCAAATACCTGAGAGAAATGAGATGAAAGAAAGAACAGCTGTGTGTCGCTCCAAAAACAACACATTTGTTCTCATTTCTTTTGCACCTTTCACTGAATCAAGTAGTGATAACAGAAGAACTGCACTGATGGAGGGATGAATCCAATGTGAAACTTTCAGTTCAAATTGTTAATAATGCGAGGAGAGAGGTACGACATTAAGTGTCTACAGCCATTTGTAAAACATGGTGTAGGCTCTGAAACGGATAAGCCTGTCATGCAGTCGCATCACAATACACCAGCACAAACTGACTGAACGACTCAAAGAGCAACTAAAAGAAAACACAATTATCATGAAGCGTTTGATGTGTGCATTTTTCTATGTGGCCTAAATGAACACTCTGCTATTAAAACGCTGACACACTGGACTCTTTCCTGTAACCACACAGCGATTACGAAATCTGATTTATATGATAAGTTAATTTCCACAGGATGGTACTTGTGGATGCATTGAGTAGAGGACGATGGGTAAACCGAGGTGGAGGCAAAATGTTTACAAAAGACCAACAATATTTTTTAAAGGTATCTGAGAGTGAAGTCTTGATGACAGACTCTGACAGAGCATTTAGCTATACTTAAGCTGTGGTATTGTTGGGACTCTGGCCCCTGGAAAGCCATACAAGTCTTTATTTGGGCATGCAAGAACTAATCCTTAGAAAATGAATGAGTATGAAAAATGGAGCTCCTCCACAACAGTGTGTTTTGTTGGTGCAATTATGAAATGGTCTCTCACTCACCTTTAACCCACTGAGTCTATTAGGGATCCTCCTGCCACAGCACATGGTGGGGTCAGTGTAGAAGAACTCTGCAGGCGTGGTGGGGTGAGCTGGGGAGAAATCAGGGAGTCCTCTCAGAGGTTGAGCAGCTGGATGAAGCTCCCCTTGAGCCGGTTTAGGTAAAAGTGACTCACCTGTTTGAGCGTTTTCTTGACTGTGGCGTGGGAGGCCTGCGGCCCTGTACAGCGGAAGGAAGGAGGGGTGGTACAGGGTCCTGTTGGACAGAGGGGGCAGGACCGTCTTCCTGGGTGTCTGATGGAGGACGGACGATGAAATCACCACCGCTGACCCGCAGTCCAAGTGAGCTAAAGAGTGATGTCACAGAACACTCACCGATACATGCTCCTCGCTGTTCATGGTGGTTCAGCTGTGTTGCTCGAGAGGTAAGGGTAGCATCTAACTACTCAAACTTAACTTGTTTATGCGGCGTTAAAAGAAGTCGGGGTAGCGACACCTGCTGACTGACGTATGAAACGCAGTGTGACTGCATGTGTATTTCCGCTCATGCTCTTATTCATATTTGTAGAAATTAAAATAAGGATCCGGAGGACAAACAAAGTCAATGTCTCTAATAAAGTGATTAAATTCACATTTTTAATCAAATGGTATAAGAAACCATGCAGTGCATGACTTGCAGCAATTAATCAGGCCGACGTCCTCTTAGATAGTTTAGAGTTCAAAAAAAAAAAAAAAAAAAAAAAGTCGGGTTTTTTGCAATATAAACGCATGAGTCGCTTTATTAGGTTCACAAATGGACCACCCCATGTTGTGTAGCTTCCTGGATTTTATACTTATTGGGCTACATACTTCTTTATTATGCAGGCTATACAGTGCATAAATCAAAATTCACATGTTTTATGTAACTGAAATGTTTAATTATCTGGGCTAAAGAAAGTAAAGATAGATATATATAGATATATATATATAGATAGATATAGATAGATAGATATATATATATCTATATATCTATATAGATATATATCTATATAGATATATATCTATATAGATATATATCTATATAGATATATATCTATATCTATATCTATATCTATATCTATATCTATATCTATATATATATATATCTATATATCTATATCTATATATGAAAATTAAATGTTGGAGAGCCATAATTATTCATTTCTACCCCTTTTTATGACCATGAGTTCCTTACAATGAAATCTCGACACTTACATCCTGTGTCAGAAACAATCAAATGATGCAAAGTACACAGTAGTAAAGCTCTACGAGACAAATAATTTCAAAGTCAGCTTTAATGCAGTTGTCCCATTTAAAATACAACTTTGTGACTTTTTAAGCTCCTGAAAGGGGATCACCAAAAAGTGATCTTTATCAGTTAGCCACCTGCAAGATTGTGAACCCTAGAAACTCGAAAGTATCGAGCAGATGGACGAACACCAGGTACAAACACAACAGGTTTTATGCGTCTTGGGGTGCTTTGAAGTGCAGCAGTGGGCTTTCTGGTGGGACGTTGCAATCCTAGAAACGGATAAAAATAAATTAGATTTTGAAAACAAGCACAATTTCCAGCAGGTGAATAAGTTACTGTACCTGCTGTGGGCTGCACTGTGCGGATGATTTTACCAACTCCAACTGTGTCAGACACAAATCTGTACATTGTAAAGAGTTGATGGAGACTAGATAGAGGATATGTACACTGCACGATCACCCTGGGAGACAAGGACAGCCTTCAATGTCATGGATCGATGCAGGTGGGGGAAAGAAAAATGAACAGGAAAGTTTTGAGATTCATACCTCTCAGTGGCATCACTAGAAACCAAGTCCATATTCTGGTCATTCTTGTTGTAGAAGATCTCATTTTGATAAGTCACGTAATCCTTTCCAAGCTGAAGAAAAAGTACAAAGTGAGGGCAAAGCAGCACAGGGAGGGGATGCCACAAATCAGTAAACTCAGCTTTTACCTCAAATATGAATCCACAGCTGTTGACTGGAAAAGAAAAGAGGGCCCTGGTGCCATTCATATCTTTAGGCCCACAAGAGTTGTCCATGAGGCTCATTCTTAATGTTCTCCCTCCACCTGAGACTACCGGAGGCAGGTTTGCCACCACAGTCATCATCCCATCAGTCGAACACACTGCATAAACAGATGCATTTTAGCATGATGGGTAACTGAGACCATCTGCGATAATAAAGCTTGGATGCACTTACTGATGAATTCTTTGGGATTGAACAGGCAGGTTTTAACTGTGGACGTCTGGACTTCTGATGTTTCACGAACTCTCACAAGGATCTCAAAAGTTCCTGAGAATCCCTTCAAAGTGACGTCCTGCCAAACACATGCAGCACTTCTACATTTAAACACAATTCAAGCCTATTAAGAACAAACTGATCATGCCAACAGCATTTCCCTCGTCTACCTGGTATTTATACCCATGAGTGGCAAGTGGCACATCAAGCTGCAGACTCTGGCTGTCATTACTGAAGATGTAGCCACGCTGGTCTGCCAGGTCTGAGGTTAGCACGTCTAACCCGATGGTTAACTCCCACAAGTAGTCAAAAGGCTGACTGTTCAGCTTGAAGCGTATCCCGGACTCAGAGCAGACCGCGTCAAAGGCTGGAGGTGCTGTCGGATACAAGCTTGTTAACCATTCTTAAAGCTTTTGCCAATATTGAGTAAATTATCAAATAACTTACAGACATCTGTGAACAGTGCCACAATGGATGCCAAGTGGTAATAAGAGTCGTTTCCAGGTAGCACAGCCAGCGTGTAGTTAATATCCAGCATAAACTGAAGAACTGCATCTTCTATAAAGAACTAAGAAAGAAATCAAATTCACTAAGATGAGCAGGATTTAAGCCATCATGTTGTGAATGTTAATAATATTTATTTCAAACATAGGCAACAAGTGTTTATATCAAAACAAAATCAAAGAGTCATCGTTTTCACAAGGGCGTGGTGGTGGCAGGGTTACCTTCTGTTTGACAACAGGGTCGTGGAACAGCACCTTCAGTGTGTAGCCATGGGTGCCGTTGGGGTGAAGAACTTCAGTGACTTTGTAGGTGCTCGTATTTGTAAATGGCAACGTAAAGTCTCGTTCATTCAACTGGATAGAAACTAACATGACATCTTCAGGAACATCGCCGAGATAGATGGTGAACATCTGTTCTTCAAGGACTGTTTGATTACGAGTGAAAATCGTGCAGGGCAACAGGGGAGTGACCAGAGTCCTGCGAAACTGGAGCATGGTATCGACATAGTCACGATCTACTGAGATCTGCTCCACGGAGAGGTCGAAGGCATAAAACTCATAGAGGCTCCCAATAACAAAGCTCTGAAAGACAAACATGCAGTTTGCATGACTTCAATCTTTACCATTAGATAAACTGCTAGTCTGACTGAAATATGTTTCACAGAGGATGTAATACAAGATAAATTAGTCACATGACCACAAAGACCAACATCTCTAGAGTAAAAATAGGATAACAATCTCTGTTCTGGCTTGGATTGCAGTCACTCTGAAATGTTGCAATGAATCCGCTCATCAGTGATTAAACTGAACATTATTCAGGAATATCGCCTGTTTGCAATCTGCTTTCTAAAGCGGGAGTCGCCGCTGGCCTACTTCCCGTCTTTCAAAAGGCAAGACTACAGAATGCACACAGTTACAACAAATGGAGTTGTGCCGAGCTCTCCAGTTTTTCCCCAGTTTGGAGAATTATTCAAGTTATTAAATGCTTAAACGAGCCATCCCTGTGCATCATCCAATTGAACATTTTAACAAGCAGCCTCAGAGCAATCCAAAAGCTACACTTAGCATGCACTGCAAAATTTGTATGATCCTCAGCTTAAATAGCCATCCTCTGACCTTCCTGTGTCCTCCTTCAGCATTATAAGGGATGCCGATTTGGACTGTGCCTTTGTGCTTCTCAACAATGTAACCCCTCTTCTCTGCAATTAGCTGCTCCATGGCATCCCCGTTCAGTCCAATCCTGATCTGTGTGCCACCGACACTTGGGTACAGCGCCTCTGGAGTCTTCCACATCATATAGCCCCCGTCATCAAAGTAACCTTCATCTGTTAAGAGGAACAACATTGCAAGTCCACCTGATCCTAAGCAGAAAGTCACTAAAATGACATAAAGGCAGATACTGACACATGGAGCAAGCAGCCAAGAGGTCGACCATAAGGACAACCCAGTTTTGTCTGGAGAACACAGTTGCATACACTGCCTCCACTGGAACATCCTCCACCTGCAGAGAAACGCATGTAAGCCTTGCTTTGCGTCAATGGTTCAAATGCAGATTCTGAATCTGTGGTTTACCTCAGTGCTCAGTGAGTCGGGTTGTCCATAGGGCGTTCGAAACAGAAGTCTTCCATCCCTCGAGTCAAACGTATAGCCCCGCTTCCGTGCTTGTGACACATTCATGGACGGCATCTGCTCCTCCGGTCTTTGAAAAGTCACCTGCCAGTCTGAAGAAGCGGTGCTGCGTACCTGGAGGAAATGTACAAGTCTTAAGACAGTTTGCTTCCTTAGTGAGAGATTTACCCGAGTGTAAGACTTACAGCTCTGACTGCATTCTTGTGTCCGATTGGGACAATCGGACAGGTAACATCACTCCTCACAGACACCTGCACAGAATTCACCAAATTACAGGGTGTAAGATTTTCACCACTAGATTATGAGTAGAGTGCAGACTGCAGTCAACCACGTTCTGTTTTCTTACCCTCTTCAAGTGTATAATCCTAGCTACGGTGGCTGCTATAGAACAGACATGTTTTAGTCAGCCAAGAGATCAAAAACATTACATGTAATCCATAAAGGCCACTGCCAGCCGGGATGCAGATCCACACATCCAGTTTGCCACTTTCTGTGGAATGCCATCAGTCCACTGCATACCTCAGCTATCAATGCCAAGTGAGAAGCAGCCACCTTTACTCACACAGACTGCAAAACTAAACTAGCCTGATACAAGTCAATGAGTCAGTGAAGCACTTTATTTTAAAAGTTCTGACTTCAGTTCAGAAGGTGAGGAAGATTGTGACATTTTATTACGGTGTGGGTGGCATTGTGCTTCATGTGCATGGCTTTAGTGACTGCAACCCATTCTCAGAGGGGGGGGAAAAAATGAACCTGCTGCTGTGTATTTTTAATTGATTAATTATAATAACATGTTTTTTGGAGGAAATGCAAATATAGATTCATGTATATTTATCAGTTTAGTATTCATTTTTCCTCTAAAAAAAAAAAAAGCCTCAAAAAAATTACTGACTACATTTAAAAAAAAAAATCCAAATTTACCTCCATGTAGTTCATCTCACAGGTAACCTCTCTGTGAGACCATTGGAGAGATAAAGTGCAGGTCTTGTTCAGTGCATAGCTGGCCTTCTTTCCCTTATGTGTAGCGATCAAGTTAAAATTAAAGGAGAACATATCATCCTGAAATACACAGAAGAGAAAATTTATCAA